GGGTGAGTGGGTTGATGGATGGTGGGTGGTTGGGTGGGTAGATGGTGGATGCATGGGTGGATGGGTGAGTGGGTGGATGAGTGGATGGTGGATGGGTGAGTGGGTTGATGGATTGGGAGATGGATGGTGGGTGGATAGATGGTGGATGGTGGGTAGGTGAGTGGGTGGGTTGATGGATGGTGGGTGGGTGGGTAGATGGTGGATGGATGGGTGGATGGGTGGGTGCTTGGGTGGATGGTGGGTGGGTGGGTGAGTGGGTTGAGGGATTAGGTGGATGGGTGGTGGTGGGAGGATGGATGGATGGGTGGGTGGGTGGGTGGGTGAGTGGGTGGATGGATTGGGAGATGGATGGTGGGTGGATGGATGGTGGATGGTGGACAGGTGGTGGATTGGTAGATGACTGGTGAGGGTAGACCATGCTCCGTGTCCACTGACAGCACACACCCCTGCTCCACAGCATAAGGCGCCCCACGATCTCCACTTTGACTGTGGACATAGCCAACAGGGAGATTTCGTGTGTGGACATGAAGCCACAGGTAGGCCCTGACCCTTTGCCTCCCCCTCCCTGTGTGAGCATGTGCCCGGCCGTGCTCTCTGCCAGCTGCAGCCCTCCCTCCCTGACCTGCCTGTCCCTCTCTGTCCTCTGCAGTCGATGCTCATTTCTGTGGGTTGTGATCTGGAAAAGAAGATCGTTGTGCAGAAGTAAGTGTGTCAATATGCGGGTGGGGTGGCACACAGCTGGGTGGCCGCAAGGGACAGCTGCTCAAGTGGGTGTCGTGTGTGTTCGGCTGTTTCCTGTTCGTCTCCCATTCCCACAGTAAAATGTCAAATAATCTGCTGGCAGAGCGCTTGCCTAGCATGCCTGGGGCCCGGGTCCACCCMGGCACCAACCCCAAAAAGTCGGTTAAATAACCACCGTGGACAGGCTGAGCCGGCTTCTGCCACGTCCCTCCCGCACTGCCTCCTCTTCCTTCTCACCGGCGTGTTCTGTTTCCTCCTTTCAGCCCCCTAATTCCTCGTTTTGATCAGGATTGCGCAGGGTCTTCGGCTTTGATCTCTTGCTAAGAATAATTTAGAAAATTTGCCTTCAGTATCCATGATCGCCCCCCGGAAACAGAGTCATGGGAACCCAAGGAAAACAGCAAAGAAACCGAGTGGGGCTCCTGGCCTCCCTGTCCCCGCAGACACTGCTGTGCTGGTGGGCAGACCATAGCTGCTCTGGGTGGACACCTGACGCATGGCACCTGCCCATTCCTGTGGTGTAAACGCCCCAAGGTGGCCGCTGATCTCAGGCTCATGAACCCCCGAGGGTCAGGTGGCTGTCTCGCGGCAGCGCAGGGTAATGACAGGCTCCATGGCAGTTTCCCCAGGTCTCCCCCCAACATGGAAGGGTCTGCGCAATTGATGGATTACATACCCTGATCCTTATCTGCAGGAAATGGTTGTAAAATACCACACAGTTTGTTCCAAAAAAGTTGGGCAAAGGCTTGAACCAGCACTTTCCAAACAAGGAAGGGAAAAGAGACGCCAGTGGCTGTAGAACACACCGGACGCTGCTGCGGGGAAGGCACCAGGTCACTGAGCGGGGGACGCACGTTAAAGAGCTTAGCTCTCAGGAGAGCTGGTGGGGTCGCCACGCCCACCACCCAGCTCTGCCAGAGGCTGAGGCAAGAGGATTGAAAATTGGAGGCCAGCCTGGGCAACTTGGTGAGACCCTGTTTCCAAATAACAAGGCTGAGGTGGAGCTCAGTGGTGGAGACTTCCGGGCTGATCCCAGTTTGACGAGACCCGGTAACGCGCACCTGAGGACGGCCAGGCTCCAGAGTCTGGCAGCGGGGAGTCCCGTGAGGTTGGGGTCCCATAGCTCCAGGCTCAGAGCCGCTTTTGGGGTGTACGTCTTCCAGCCATTTGCAAGCCCCCGAGGACCCAGCGGCCCAGAGTGGTCACAGTGGCTTATCCTGACAGCTTCCAGGAGGAGCCAGGCCGCGTGCCCCAGAGGGAGTGAAGCACCCCAGCATGACGTTCTGACATAGCAGAATGTCACAGTGAAGAGAAGGAGCCAGGCCACGTCCCCTGTGCAGGGAGAGCCACCGACAGGAGGCCAGGCGGGCCACTGCAGCCCTGTCCGTCTGCGCTCCACCTGCACCTGAGGACTTCCTCCTGCCCCCGCAGTGCGGCCGCCTGCGCCAAGGCCAGCCTCTGGTGGCTCTGGTGGCTCTGCTGTGCCTTGACCTGAGGAGATGGCCCCGCCCCTCCGTGGTCCCCCAGCCCCACGGCGGAGACCTCAGACAGACCCCCAGGATGGACACGCTGCCGAAGCCCGGCCAGTCCTGCCCAGCTGCCACGGCCTCAAGGAGCCCAAGGAGACTGAGGACAGGATGTCGCGTGGGAGGCCGTGGGGCTGCAGGATGGGAGGGTGCTGGGGAAGCCACGGCAGCAGAAGAGCCCAGTGACAGCAGTGTTTCACTGGGTCCCCGAGCCACGGCAAGTGCTCTGCCAACGTAGAACCCACCTAAAATAAAGCCACCCAGGGCCACCAGGCTCGGGGACGCATGCCTGTGATCCCACGCTGGAAGGCAGGAGGAGGCCAGTTCAAGGTCAGCCTGTCTCAAAATGAGGAGGGCGCAGTGGCCAGGCACCCTGGGTCAGTCCCCAGGAGCAAGAGAGAAAAGTCAGGGCCACGGCGGCCTCCGTCAGGGTCCAGGACTGGCCCCGGTCCTCTGAGGTCAGCTCTGAAAACCTGCTTCCCAAGAGCCCGCGGGGCCGGCACGGGACAGAGCAGGGCGCTGCTGCAGGGGAGGGCGGGCTGCCTGGGGCGCTCGAGGGTCCCAGCAGAACCGCTGGGAACAATCTGTGGGGGCAGGTACGGGAGCACTGTGCCCGGGGCGGAGACACGGGGGTCCGACAGATGAGACAGAGAAATGGGTCACACAGGGACGGGCGGATGGACAGATAGAGATGTGGGTTTGGGGGGGAAGGGTGCTGGGAATTGAGCCCAGGGGTGCGCTACCACTGAGCCGCATCCCCAGCCCCAGCCCTTTTCAATTTTTATTTTGACAAAGGATCTCGCTAAGGCGCTGAGGCTGACCTCAAATTTGAAATCCTCCTGCCTCAGACTCCTGAGCCCCTGGGATTACAGGCATGTGCCATCACACCGGGCCTAGAGGTGGATTTTTGAGACTTTGTGTCACCCAGGCCAACTGACAAACATACGCGCACACACATGCACACACACGCACACACTTTTTCTTTCTAAGTGTGTGACTGTGCCTCGTGCTCTTGCCTGGTTACTCTGGGAAGACTCGTCCTGCTCTGGTCAGTTTAGAGCACACAGCTACCTCTCCACGGCCACACGGAGGCCACCCTGCGTATTCTGATGTGTCCATCCTCGCCCGTTGCTGTGGCTTTGATAGAACACTTGAGACTCAGTAATTTGCAAAGATAAGAGGTCAGTTTAACTCAAGAGCACTGCGTGAGGCCCTGCTCTGCACCTGGTGTGGCCTCGTGCTGTGCGTGTCAGGTGGCTTGATCCGAGGCCCCCTGTCCCCACCGTGACTCACCACTCCCAGGAGCCACACTGGTCATCAGCTCTTCCACCAGGGCAGGTCCCTGGTGACCCCAAGGCCATACTGTGGCCCCCCGACTCTCCACCTTCACTGGAGGTTCGGTGGGGACAAAGCCCACCCCAATGCAGCAGTACCCGGCCTGCCCCACTGGACCGCCTGTCCTGGCCACAGGCTGGTGGTGCACCTGCCGGCCAGGGGAGTGCAGACCCAGAATTGGACCCAGGACGGAGGCCTGTGCACCGAGGCCCTCGMCCTCCGGGATCCAGCGGCCGTGCTGTCCTCTCCTTGGGCGTCTCCCACTGCCCCTGCCCATGGCGGCCTCTCGCTCTGCTCTCCTCTTCCGCCAGCCAGCCTGGACGGATGGAGACCAGCTCTCCAAGGCAGACGGCCAGGTGTGCGGCCGAGGCCTTGGGGCCAGGGAGGCCGTAAAGGCAAGAAACCCACAGGAGAGGGTGGAAATCAACACTGTGGCCCAGAAGCCCGTCACAGGGGCTGGTGAGGGATTGGGTGGGGAGCAGAGGACCCCTGCAGCACGTCACTGTCACTCCTGATGTCCTGCACACCTCTGTTCTCCTTAGGGGCCGCGTAGCAGCTCCATCTACTGAACCTCCTTCCCCGACACTCTACCTGGGACGTCTTTCCTACTTCAGGCTGCACAGCTAGGCCTCACCTTTTTATCAGCTGCATAGTGTTCCTGCATGTGGCCAGTAAGCTGTCCCTGTCTTTAGGGACATCTGAGCTGCACGTGAAGCTACAGAGCCCCCAGCCTTGTGTGCCCATCTTCACGTACCACCAGGGCGTGGGCTCTTCAAGATGAACTTTGCGGAGACTTGCTGGGTCCAGGCTTCTGTCTCAAAAAGCTGTGTCAGGACTGGGCTGGGGCTCAGTGGCAGAGCGCTCGTCTGGCACGTGTGAGGCACTGGGTCCGATCCTCAGCAGCACATGAAAAGGTGTTGTGTCAACTACAGCTGAAACATAGTAAGAAAATAAGGCTGGACCAAAAACACTTGAGTAGACATTTCTCCAAGGAAGACAGACGGGGCCAGCGAGCCCTCGAAAGAGTGCCCCGCGCCACGCGGGAGGAAGGGGCAGGTCACACCCACGAGGAGCGCACCCAGCATGAGAGGCACTGGGAGGACGAGGCCGGGTCGGACCCTGCGCACCGTGGGCAGGAGGGGAGAACGGGAAGCCACTGTGGGGAGCTGGCGGCCCTCAGAGAAGGGAAACACAGGATCTGCACACCCTGGGGCCGTCCCATTGCTGGGAGCAAACCCAGAAGGACCATGTCCTCAGCAGCAGGACCCACGAGAGCCGAGGCGTGGGGCACCGTGGGTCACGAGGGGCGAGGGACCCTCACGCCATGCACACCACGGCGCCCTGACTCCTGCTCTCACGTGGGCGCACCCCAGGGACACTGTGCTCAGAGACGCAGCCCCAGACGCAGCAGGACACGCGGCAGCCTCACCCCCAGGAGCTGGTGTGGCAGGGGCCGAGCTTCAGTGTGGGGAGATGGAATGTTCTGGAGAGGGTGGTGGGGACGGCTGCACAGCCCTGTGTCTGCCCCGGGACCCTGGACTGCGCACTGGAGTCTCATCAAGACGGTAGCTCCTGCTACATGTGGGGCGGTCCACATCCTAAGTGACTTTTTTTTTTTTTTTTTTTTTTTTGGTGCCAGGGATTGAACTCAGGGACACTCAGCCACGGAGCCCCATCCCCAGCTCTATTTTGTATTTTATTTAGAGTCAGGGTCTCACTGAGTTGCTTAGGGCCTCGCTGTAGCTGAGGCTGGCTTTGAACTCATGATCCTCCTTCCTCAGCCTCCTGAGCCCCTGGGATGACAGGTGTGGCCACCGCGCCCGGCCTCTAGGTGACATTTTTATGTCTTTATTTTTAGTCGATGTAGAGGACAGCATGCCTTTATTTTATTTGTTTTTCTGCGGTGCCCAGGATGGAACCCAGAGCCTCCCACGTGCTAGGCAAGCGCTCTGCCACTGAGCGCCAGCCCAGCTGCACCCTCTAGGTGGCGAACCGTCCCCTGGCCAGGTCGGGCCCCACTGCCTGCATCCTTCCCAGCCCCCGGCTGCGGAGGTCCCCTCCAGGCCAGGCAGCTCTCACCATCTTTTCTTGCTCACAGCAAAATCTCAGCCTGCTCCAAGGGCATCCTGAACGCCGTGGAGCTCCAGAAAAACTTCTCCTACGTCATCGAGAAGTAAGGCTGCCCCTCCCCCAGGACGCAGGGCAGGGCAGGAGTGAGGGGCTGACAGCTGGCCAGAGGGAGTCCATGCTGGGCGAGGACCAGAGCCAGGAGGTCGCCGCCCACAGGGCCAAGCCACCCAGAAAGAGCCACCGTGCCAGGCCCTGGGCACCCCTGGACACCGCCCCAGCTGCCCCAGCTCTGGGTCTCCCCCGAGGTAGCGGGACCGCTGGACATTCCCAGCCTGGATGGGAGGGTGCAGCGGACCAGGGCCTGGTGGCCGCACGTGTAGTCCCTGACCCCGGGGCTGAGGCAGGAGTGTCACCTGAGCTCATGAGCCAGAGACCAGCCGGGGCAGCATAGTCAGGCCCTGTCGCCCGAGACAAGCAACCGGACTGTCTGGGCCGGACGTGTGGCCTCGCCACTGCCCTCGACACCACAGCACAAGAGCCATCACCGACACCTACAAGTGGGTTCGCAGGCCACCCACAGGTGACACACAGGTTCTGCGAAATACCACACCTTTTCCAGCACCGGGAATTGGACCCAGGGGCACTTATCCACTGAGCCCCAGCCCCAGCCCTTTTTTTAAAATATATTTTTTTAGTTGTAGATGGACACAACATCTTTGTTTTTGTTTATTACTTTTTTTTTAATGTGGTGCTGAGGATCAAACCCAGGGCCTCACGTGTGCAAGGTGAGCGCTCTACCATTGAGCCACATCCCCAGTCCCCTTCCCAGCCCTTTTTAAAAAGTATTTTATTTAGAGACAGGGTTTCTCCAAGTTGCCTAGGGCCTCGCTGAGTTGCTGAGGCTGGTTTTGAACTCGCCACCCTCCTGCCTCAGCCTCCCGAGCTGCTGGGATGCAGGTGTGGCCACCAGCCTGGCATATTGCACTTTTTTTACATAAGGGATTCAAGCATCTGTGGATTGGGGAGTCCTCGGGGGATCCCAGAACCCATCCCCGTAGGACTAATCCCCTTCGGATCCTGAGGGATGCCTGTAGCTGTAGATACGGAGGGAGGGAAGGAGAAAGACTAATTGTAAGGAATTGGCTGAGGCCTGGAACTTCGGACATCTGCAGGGTAGTGGAAACTGGAGCCCAGAAAAGAGCTGCAGTTTGAGCCTCATGGCCATCCGCTACGGCACAAGGGTTGGGATTGGGGGCAGGTAGGTGTTTGTTCTGTTCTGGCCTTCGCCTGATTCGGGCAGGCCCACCCAACATGGTGGGTCCCCCACAGCACTCAAAGAGCCCTGATGTAAACGTCAGTCTCATTCAGAAACCAGAAAAGACACCTTCACAGAAACAGCCAGATCATGTTCCACCAAAGGCCTGGACCCAGTGATCCAGCCACGTTGATACACAAAATCAACAGGAAATCCCAGTGTCTCTGGGTCTTGACTGTGAAGCTTGCCCCCTAGATGTCACCTCCATTCGGGTGAAAGTCCCTGTTGCAGAGGGAAAACAGGCTGCAAAGGGCCTGGCAGAGGGCAGGAGCTGACCCCACTGCCTGTCGCTGCTTCCTGCTCTCTTATTAAAGGGAATCCTACGACTCCAGCTACCAGGGGCAGCGGTCCAACAAGGACCTGGTGGTGCAGTACTCGTACAAGGACCTGGGCTGCCCGCGTCTCGTCTACTACGACACCCCCTGGAAGCCCGTGATCGAGCTGTAAGAGCCCCGTGGGTGCCCAGCTGGGGGACACCTCCGGGCCCTTGCCTCGGGCCCACCTGGTCGGGGGCCTCCTCAGGGCGGTGGTCACTCTGCCCTCTGGGATCACAGCGTGTGCCACTGCGCCAGGCCCAGCTGGCTTTTCAAATATTTGTCACTTGCCTCTGGTTGGTGGGACCCACGGTGCAGCTGCCACGTGAGGGGAGCCAACTAAGCTGCAGATGTCACCAGAAACCTCTGGGGCCGGGCAAGCGTCCTGTTTGCTTGGGCAGGGTGCCGCTTGGTGATGGCATGCTTAGAGTGTGCAAGGCCCGGGTCCTCACACATGCCCAGTGTGCGCGTGGGATCTGTCCCTGTGCTTATCATGAGGTTACTCGGTTCCCACACACGGCATCAGCTTCCTCCCGTCCCTGCTCATCGGTCCCTCTCAGAGAGGCTGCTGCCCGGTGCCTGGCCCCTACTCTGTCCCCTCTCCCTGCACCTGGCGCGGCCCCCCACCCCCAGGACAGGTCCACGCAGCGGGCAGCTGCGGCAGAGGTCTTCTCAGGTCCTTGGAGCAGCCCTGCCCCGCGCTGTGTCCCAGGTGGCGGAAGTCGGACTTCCAGGAGATCGTGAGCGCCGAGTACGTGCTGCTGGAGGTGAACGGGGTGTTCACCTACTCCTACGCCATGACCGCTGGCTCCGCCTCGTGCCTCAGCCAGCCCCAGAACTGGACCAGCATCCTGGACTCGTCCTCCAAGAAGGGACCCTTCTCCTGGAACAGAGAGGTAGCGCTGACCCTCTGGTCGGCACAGATCATGCCTGGATGAGGGGGAGGGTCGCAGGCCCCGGGGGGATGGGAGAGCGTGGCACTGGGCCGTCCTTTGGAAATCCGCAAGGGAACTGACCACGGTCCGCTGGGCCCTGCTGCGGGGGTGAGCCCGCCGGACGCCATCTCCGCGGACTGACTCAGCTCAGGGTCTGAGCTCCGTGAGCGTTTCCACCATACGGGGTGGTCTGTGGTCAGCTGGGAGGCAGACGGCGGGCCGCTGGCCTGGTCCAAGGCCGAGCGCAGAGCGGTGCCGCCAGCAGGGGGCGCGCGCTCCCCGCGCCCCCGCCCGAGCGCTGTCCAGCGAGGTGACCGGCTCTCGGTCTCGTGGCCCTGGGCCTGTGGGCTCACCTTGAGGGTGCTGAGGATGCACCCAGGGCCGGACACGTGCGCGGCGAGCGCTCTGCCGCGGAGCCCCAGCCCCAGCCCGTCAAGGGCTCTGGCTATGCCGCGTTAGTGTCGCTTTCCCTGTTTTTAAAGATGAAACTCGCTTCACATTCCATGAACTTTGGGGGTTCTGGAGTCGGACCCAGGGGGGCGCCATCGCTGAGCCCCAGCCCTTTCTCATTTTTACTTTGAGACGGTCTTGCCAAGCTGCCGAGGCTGGCCGTGAACTTGCAGCCTCCCGCCCAGCGTCCACTCAGTGGAGGRGCAGGGGTGTGCCACCGTGCCCAGCACTGTGGTGACTTTTTTTCTTTTTTAATAGTTACTTTTTAGTTGTAGTGGGACGCAACACCCTTGATTTATTTATTTACTTTCACGTGGTGCTGAGGACGGAACCCAGGGCCTTGTGCATGCTCAGCCCCGGCTTTGGTGACCTTTTAAGGGAGAATGTGTCAGAGTTCCGCACCACATAGTATTTCGGTCACCGACAGATGGCATGTGTGGCCATGCTCCTGTGAGATCAGGACAGGGCTGAGGACGCCCTGTCACCTGGGGCCTCGAGTGCTGTGGCCGTGCAGCTCTGGACACCACTGAGCGGCCCAGTAGCACAGCGCAGGCAGCTGTGCTGGGCCGTGCAGCTGTGGGGCTGATGACAAGGCGCCTGGTTCCTGTGTTCCCTGAGGTTGGGACCCAGGGCCTCAGGCAGGCCAGGCGCACTGTGGCTTTCAGACACGCCCGAGACGTGTCTGTCCCGGAACCCGTCCTGTGGAGCTGCGTCTCTGATGGCTAGAGACTAAACGGTGTGCAGTTCCGCAGGGTCCCCAGGCCTCCCCCCTGCAGTCTTGTCCCAAGGTGCCCAGGGACGCGCGCACCAGAGTGTGCTCGAGTGTCCTGCAGCGAGGACCCTGGTGCCTCTCTGTCGAGGGACACCTTCACTCCTTTGTGCTGGGTCCTGTGTCCTCGGCGGTGCCCGTTTTCTTGCGGGCTGGGGTCTCCTCTTGGTTTTCGAGAGCTCGTGGCTGATGTCAGGCCCCGTGCCATCCCCGGGTGGCCTCTGCCTCTGGTCTTCACTCACACCACACAAACTACCCCTGGCTCCCTGTTGCTCTCCTTTGTTGCTGGATTTTCCCTCTGCTCACCTGCCTCCCTTCTGGGAGGCTCCGGGCAGGCGGGGCAGAGGACCCAAGTGTAGGGCCGGGAGGTGGCCTGGGTCCTGGCTGAGGGCAGCCAGCATACTGGGCCAGCCGCGGGCTTCCTGGGTGAGGGCGGCTGGTGCGGGTGGACAGGCTGACAGCCCTGGGGAAGGCCAGCTTGCCAAGCTGGAGTCATCTGCAGACCCCCCAGGCTGACRGCCAGGGGCCTCCGCCTCCACAGAGCAGTGGGCACCCTGCTCCCGAGGCCCAGCAGGAGGCTGCGAGTCCAAGGCCAGCCCCAGAACTCAGCAAGGCGTCTCCAGCATAACAGGGCTGGGGTGTGGCTCAGAGGTAGAGCAGCTGGGCGAGGTGCAAGCCCCCACCCACGACAATCCCGGACGCGCAGGAGTCCGCAGCAGGGCACTGTTCATCTACCTCCAAGTGTCACCCTAGAATCTGGGGACAGGACAGAAAGCTGCCACCTCGACTGGTCCCCTGACCTGGCTGCATTGAGCCAACAACAGACCCCGGAGGGGAGTCCGGGCTCCACCTTCCCGGATCCCAACGTGGAGTCCCACCGGGCGGCTCCTCCAGGGCTGTGAGGAGAGCCCGTCCCTGGCCCTCTTGGCCAGCCTTGTGGACGTGCCACCCCACCTCTTCCCTCACCCACATGGGGGGTCCCCTGTGCCTGTGAGGGTGCAGTGGAGGGTGGCAGGCAGCTCCTGGGAGGACAGGCCAGGGCCAGTGGCGTGCTTTTGTCCCCTCCCTAGAACTACATAAGCTGCCGCGACAGCAGCAGCAACCTCACTGCCTTGGAGTGGCCCGATGTCCAGTACCAGGTCCTGGGGGGCCTAACAGACAACGAGATCATCTTCGACCAAAGGAACGGGTTCTACATCTTCCACCTGTCCATCGTGGACCCCTACTACAGGTCAGCTGGTCTGCCCTGAACCAGGGCCACCTGGCAAACTGGGGGCAGGCTCTGTGGGGCGGGCCACACCTGTGCAGGGTACTCTTTATGCCCCTCCCTCACCGGCTGGTAGATTCTGACTGAACTGACTTCCCATGGGGCACCGGGGCCACAACTGTCATCCCAGTGACTCTGGAGGCTGAGGCAGGAGGATTGCAAGTTGGAGGCCAGCCTTAACGACTTAGCAAGATCCTGTCTCAAAATAAAAGTTAAAAGGCTGGGGTGTGGCTCAGCGGTAGGGTGCTTGCCTGCCTCCCACACGTGAGGGCCTGTCTCTGTCCCCAGCGGTACCAAACAACAGAACAAAAATCCCAGCTCAGACTGTCCCACAGAGTGACGATTTTAAGTTCTAGTTGACATTGGTTCATTCGGGAAGTCCTGGCCCTCTGAGGATTCTGCAAGTTAAACCACCCAGTGGTCACAATGTTTAAAGAACCCTGTCTGTACTGGACACGTACAGGGTTTTTTCTGGCCACCATTCCCTAAGTAACACACGACAACAACCGCTACACGGCCCGGGGCCAGGGGTCCGTCCCTCAGAGGTGACTTCCGGCCTGGGGAGGACACAGGTTCTGTGCCCAGACTGCCCGTTTCACACAGGGGACAGCTGGATTTCGGATTCACAGCCAGTGCTCCTGCCACCTCAGTGGGGGACACCGTGGGGGCAGGCTGCAGGCAGCTCAGCCACTCAGCGCTGCCGGACTCGGGGGAAGGGGGTCTGTGAGCCGGCCACCAGGGGACTGACGACTTGCATGGGGGGTGGCTCCAGGCAGCCTGTCCCATCAGAAGTCCCCACCCAGGGGCGTCAGGAGCACCTGGAGCCAGCCCAGTACTGGTGGCCAGCGTCCCCCTGGGGACGACACGGGCGACTTCCTCACCCTGCTTGAGTCCTCTGAGCCATCACCGTGGATGAAGGTCCACCCAGATGTCCATGGGGCCTCCTGGGCCCAGGGCTGGCGCCCACTGCCATGTCCCCTCAGTCCGCAGCCCGCTGTCCTGGGCCCTGCGGCTGTCCCAGCGCCTCCCCTCCTGCCCCCGCAGCTACTGCCAGCTGGAGACCACCTTCAGCATCTAYGTGTACGGGGCCTACCCGCGCAGAGCCATCCCGCCAGAGGCCGCCATCGTGCTGCTCGTCAGCGGCCTCCTGCTGGCCGTATGGCTGGCCCACCTCGTCCTGCACACCAAGGAGGGCCACAGGTGCCAGCAGTGCTGTGCCAGCCTGTGCTGCTGCGGCTGTGCCAGGGCCAGGCACTGAAGCCCCGGCCCCGCCAGGGCTGAGCACGGGGGCCTCGGAGTAAAGCGTCACACTGAGCAGGCAGCAGGCGCCTTCTTCCCACTCCCCGCCGGCAGGATCGCCGTCTGTCTTGCTGGGTTGGAACCCAGAGGGCCCAGGYCGGGAGGGTGCTCTGCCTTGGGAGACACACCCCGGTCCTTTTTTTTCTCTTGGTACCGGGGATTGAACTCAGGGACACTGGACCACACCCCAGCCCTGTTTTGTATTTTGAGACAGGGTCTCCCTGAGTGGCTTAGCGCCTCGCTTTGCTGAGGCTGGCTTTGAACATGTGACCCTCCTGCCTCAGCCTCCCAAGCTGCTGGGATGACAGGTGTGGCCAAGGCACTCAATCCTCACTGATTCTGTGACACTGTGGCATCCCGAGGCCGAGCCCATAGGACCACGGTTTCCTAGAGATGACACTCAGTGCCCTCTCCACAAACCTCACGTCTGTAACGTGCAAACCAAGCAGTGCCCAGCGCAGGCTCCCAGCCTCCCGTCACTGGGATCTGCAGTCCAGGGCAGCCCCAGGGCCGAGAGCCTACCACACAGAGCCTGCCCACCCTTTGCCTTTTGTGCCAAAACCACAGCAGGGACCCTGCCTTGTGTTCCCAGCTCCCTCTGCGCCCGGCCAGTCCTGTGCTTCTGGGCGGCCCTGCCTCCTCCCCTCCGCTCACTTGGCTGGACCGATGACGAGGGTCCACACCGTGTCAGACCTCAGCTCGCGAAGCTGAGCAGGGTGGCGTACCCCGCCAGGTCCCAGGCCCCCTGGGCTCCCCCAGCACAGACCTCGGGTCCCCGGATGAAGGTCCCAGCACCAGGGGACAGCCCAGGGCGGGCAGGACTCCCAGCCCATCCTGGGAGGAGCAGGCCAGGCGAGCCATCCCACAGGGGTGTCCCAGGTGGGGCGGCCTGCCACCTGCTGTTTGGTCACACGTTCCTGGGGGTGGCACCCCTCAGGGTCACCTTGGGCACAGCAGAAAGGCAGGGGAAGGCCTGTGCATGGGCAGTCCCATGGGATAAGGGGGGAGGCTGAGGACACTGGCGCTTGGGGTCACCCTGCCCTTCCTGGACTGGGCTGTCTCTGGCTTCTCAGATCAGCACCTAGGCAGTCCCCACTGGAGCCCTGCTGGACACCCTCACCTGGGCTCAGGGGCCACGTGCCACACGTGTCCCCGCCCTCCTTACTGGGCCTCCCTCCTGCACCGGCCTCGCCCACCCGGAGCCAGCGCTGCCCCCACCACAGGGGGGTCTGCTTGTGCCCAACCCTCACCACCGGCCAGTCGGCAGCACCAGCCCAGCCCCTGGCCTGCCTCCCCTCGCCCACCACTGGCCCAGGGCTGCGGCAGGGCCTGGCCCATGGCCCCAGGCTCCACAGAGGCCCCACAGAGTCAGGGCCTCTCCCACCTGTGCAGCTTCCTGGGACGCAGGGCAGACAGCAGGGTACAGACCGAGCGTGCTGGCCACTCCCTGGGGAACCTTGATTTCCACCACCAAACACAGAAGTCAAGTCCTCGTGCTGGCTGGACGCAGTGCCGCGCACCCCTGATCCCGGCTGCTCAGAGCTCCTGAGGACTTGGCAAGACCGTTTCAAAATGAAAACGGCTGGGGATGGGGCCAGGGGAAGAGCACCCCCAGGGTTCCTTCCTGAACCAGAAAAAACAAGCTCCCCACTTCCCGAGGACCCCTGCTCGGGCCTCTGGCGCAGGGACGGGCCTGTCTCCTGCGAGTAGCCCTGGAGGCCAGCATCACCAAGTGCTGGGTCCTCCCGACCTCAGCACGCAGCAGGGCACAGCCCTGCCTTCCCTGAGACACGGGCCAGGGCCCAGGTGTCCGCACACAGCCTCCTGCCCCCRGAGGCCAAGGGATGCCAAGCCGAGAGATCAAAACTTTTAATGGGGGGTGACTCCCAGGTCCTGCCGCGGCCCCACGGGGGCTGCCACCTGCCTGCCCTTGCCACCCGGCTTCCCCTTCCTGACGGCAGAGGCAGCCTTCTTCTTCCCCGGGGGGTCAGACCTCAGGGCAGGGGCCGCAGGGTCAGCAGCAGGGGGCCCCAGGCGGGGCGGCGGGTCCTCGTCAAGCGCCTTGAAGTTGAAAAAGCAGTCCACGTTGGACACGGTGTCCAGGATCTCGGGCACGCTGTAGTCGAAGGACAGCAGCTCGTCAGGCAGGTGCAGGGAGCGGATGTCACTGGAGGAGTCGTCGCCGCCGCCCCCGCAGTCGGGCAGGCCGGGCCTGGGCAGCTTGCGCGGGGTGGCCTCGGGCTCCGCACCGGCRGGCAGGCAGTCGAAGAGCTTCATGGCGTCCTCCAGCAGCACGTTGTCCGGGAGCACAAAGGCCCGGGCGGCCTCCGGGGCCCTGATCTCCCCCGGATCCGTGGCAGGCGGTAGGCTGGGCACGGCCCCACTGCCACCCTGCGGCTCCTTGGTGGGGACAGCCAGGGGCTCACTGGGCCGTGCGGCCCCCTCAGACCCGGGGACTTGGCTGAGGTGGCCCTTGAGGGGGCCGTAGGTGCTGGGGGGCAGGGTGGCCTCGGTGGGCAGCGTGACGAGCAGCTTGCTCTCCTTGGGGGGCGCCAGGCTCTCCTTGAGCAGCGGCGGGGGCAGGTCCACAAAGGCGGGGGGCCCCCCATCGCCCACAAAGCCCAGGGCCTCGGGCCCAGGTCCCTCAGGGGGGAAGTAGGGCATGAGGTACTGGGGCCCCCCGGGCGCCGGCTGGTAGTGGGGGTACGCTGGCGGGGCTGGCACGGGGCCCTTGAGGTAGCGCTGCGGCTCCAGGAGGTAGCTGCCTGGCGAGGCGGGGCCCCCGGCCACGGCCAGCTTGTACAGGGACGACTGGCCAAAGTCGGTGGTGGCCCACTCGATTCGGTAGATGCGGGGGTCGAAGAAGCAGCCGCAGGGCGCCATCTGGAAGCCTGCAGGCAGCGGGCGTGGGCACCCACGGGGTTGGGACAGGGGCCTCCTGACTAAGGGCCCCTCGCTCTGAACTCTCTGGGGGTCTGTCTGGGCGAGGACATGGCTTTCTCCGCAGCTTCCTGAGGGATGGGGGCCCCAGGCTTTGCTTCAGGGACCCACTGGGATCCGGCCTCACTCTGGGTCCCCACGGGCAGGGCCCAGGGCATGCTCTGGAGGCTGGGCAAGGGGGGGCAGAGCTCGCCTCTGGGGAACCCGGGGAGCAAGGCAAGCGGCCTGCCTCCTGGCACAGAGGACTGGCCCCTGCTCTGGGGCACCCGCCTGAGGTTGGGGACTCAGGCCCACCTGCAGGGTCCCATGGGGGCAGAGAAGGGAGATGAGCCCTGCCCACTCTTAACTGCTCCGGCCCTCGTTGAGCTGGGGTGGCCGGTACCTGCTGGAGGGGCGGGAAACGCCTCTTTCTCCGAGCTTAGGGGCTGATACAGGAGGTTCGAGGCTGTGGACAAAGGGGCCCGGTGGGTGGGGCCTGAGCTGCGGAGGCGCCCTGGGCACCACCTCCGCGAGGCCGCCCCCACCCCCGCCACGCGTACCCACGGCAGGAGCAGGCTCGGGGCAGGCGGGCGCTGGCTGGCTGCCCAGCCCCTCGGTGCTCTCCAGGCCCCTGGGGCTGAAGCCTTCCTGGGGGGCTGCGGTGGGGTAGAAGGGCTTGGGGTGCTGCATGGGCAGGCGGGGCCTGGCAGGTGGGAGTGGAGGCGCCCACCGGAGAGCAGGCTCAGAGTCCTGCGGGGTTCTACGCCCCTGGTTACTGGGGCAGTGGGTTCCAGGCCAAGGCCTGCCCACCAGGTGGGGTTCCGGGGGTGGGAGGGTGGGTAGGAGGCAGAGGGGACACCCAGAGGTGAGAGCCAGGTGTCACCTGGGGTGGTCAGACCCTGGCCTGGCCTCTCTTCTCCGGCAACACTGTCCACTGCTCAGAGCCATGGCCCCCAGCAGGGGCCCTGACCTCACCCGAGGCCCACTCCACCACCCGCTGGCAACCTGGTGGTCCTGGCCTCTGGGCAGCACAAAGCACAGCCCCACCGGGCCCTCGGGTGGCCGGAGGCCTGGTGCATGAGTGCGGCGGCTGGGAAGGGCTGCCGKCCAGGAGGGAGGCGGGGGCGACCGGGACGGCAGGGGGGCAGGCGAGGAGCAGCCGAGCCGCAGAGAGGCCTGGGCTCCCAGAGTGAGCCGTGTTTATTGTCTTGTCCACGCGGGGGCCGGGGCCTGTGGGCYACTACTTGTACGCATTGGCCTTGTGCTTGGGCAGGAAGACGAAGCCGGGCGGTACAGGTCCCAGGAGCATCTCGCTGTGGGGAGGGCGGGGGTCAGACCTGGGGCTTGGCCACCCCGGCAGCCCGCCCCAGCCCCACCGCCCGGGCACCTGATGCGGATCCAGTCGGCCGCCTGCTGGCTGGCCATCAGCGTCTCCAGGTAGTCGCGGCCCAGGTAGTAGGGTGGCCGCTCGTTGACCCTCTGCGGCAGCCGCTCCAGCAGGCCCACGGGCACGTACCTGCAGGGATGCAGGTCAAGAGGAGCCTCCAGCCTGGGCCGCTGCCCCCCAGGGGCCACCCCCAGGGGCCACCCACCTGCACAGGAAGGAGAGCCACTCTAGCAGGAAGCGCCTCGTCTTCTCCACGCCCTGCGTGTCTGAGCCCCAGTGCTCCAGCCCGTAGCTGGTGAAGTCCCTCAGGATGTCCAGGCGCTCGGAGGAGGAGATGTCCCAGTGCCGCTGCTCCTTGATCTCCGTGAACAGCCACGGCTTCAGCAGGGCCCCRCTACGGGGTGGGGGCATCAGCCGGCGGCTGCCTGGGCCCTGGGCCACAGCCACCAGAAGCCCTCCCTGCTGCGACTCCCCTCGCTCCCTGCCTGTCCTGGTCCCACAGGACCACAGCRGGCCCCTCACTCCCACGCAGCTGCCACTGGCCTTAGGTCCTACAGGGAACTCACCGGGCGATCATGACCCCGGCCACTCCCGTCTTCAGGGCGCGGTTGGCATCCTCGTATGACAAGATGTCCCCATTTCCTGAGGGGACA